CCAGCTCCAGGCGCTTAACTTATATTGTTATTTATTAAATAAACTTGCAATATAAAATATTGTGACGGTAAACGTCGTATTAGCGCTATCGGCCCAACTATGCGGCTGCCGGCGAGGGCAGTACCTGCCGGTTGGGGGAAAATGTATTAGAGGAATTCGGCACGAGACGTAACGGAACGCGCGCGTAAGAATATAAACCAGTGGTGGATTAGCTACCGGTACGTTTAGCCAAGAGTGAAAGATTAGAACCCGCACACTTAGCTGCTACCAAAAAGGACGAGAGTTTTCCCGAGTTTTCAGGAGCGCAGAGATAACCAGAGACGAGCTGTGCCATAGCCTGACGGAGATGAGTGCATGCTAGCGTGCGTGAGTGAGCAGTTTCGCCATCGAGGGCGAAACTGAAAACGCGAGATACCTCGCCGCAAAGACTGACTTTTCCGCAACTAGGGTGCGAGCGCTTTTATTTCCGTGTCATCGTACAACTGCTAACAAGGTAAGCTGGCCAGCTTAATTTCGCGATCGCGACAGAATTGCTAAATAACTAATCTTTCGACTCGATAGAAAACGTGCATGTATTATCTCGGCAAACAAAGAGCGGCGAGCGATCCGACTCCGCATGTTATTATCGCGCGAACGTCTTGTAAACATAAACACGCGGGCCGAATACAGTCTATAGTTTAGAGGAAATAAACGATTTCGCATGTGATATTGATTAGAATTTCATCGTATTTATTTCAATAGTAGATAGTTGGTTGACTGATACCCGTTCCCTCCTGCTCTCCGGTTTTCGTGTTTGAACATATAGGTAATCACGCGCGCTCTTCGATACGATCGTGCGTATTAAATTAAATAAACGGTATCAACCCCGTTACAATATGCAAGTTGAATTTGTTTAATTATTTGTCAAAGTCTTTTATATCATTAAAATTAATTGATTTATATCATTCATATATTATTTATAATTAGTTTTGAATTGTTTATATCCTTTGGATTTTTTTGAGTTGATATTGCAATGTCGAACGAAAAACGTCCGATTTATAACTCTACTGAGTGTACTCCCGAAACAATTCTAAACGAACTTAGTGAATCATTAATTGGTCAGGAATTGACCGTGCAGCAGAAAAGAACGCACGAATGGAAAAGAGTTGTAGTAGATGAATTAAAAACATTTCATACTGATCAGTTTAAGTTACAAAATGATTTTAAAACAATTTCTGAAACTATCAATAATTTGAGTAATAAAGTTGATAGATTGACAAATAAAATCATTGAACAAGATCAAATAATTAAGAATTTAGATTCAAATTTAGAAAAGTCAAACAAAATTATTTCTATTTTAAAAGATAGATGTGAAGATAATTTCAATGATATTATTCGAGCAAAAATAATGTTACTATGGAAATGAATAAAACATTTTCAGAACTTCGTGAGAATATTGATAAAATTAAGAATAATGATCAAAATAGATCTATTGTTAATGAAACTATTATTCAAACAATTAAGCAACCTGCTTTAACGTGTCCAGTTTTTGATGATAATTATAAATATCAACCAGTAAAATATTTAAATGATCTCAAATGTTATTGGCAAGCAAGTAATTATAATACTGCTCAATTGCTAAGTTTGTTATCTCAATCTATGACGGAAGTAAATTCTTCATGGTATGATTTAGTACAGCGTGAAATTAAAAATTTTGAAGATTTTGTAATATTATTTAAAAAGAAATTTTGGAACGCTGAAATACGTAGAAATATTACTCGCGAAATAGAATTTGGTAAATATTTTGGTGGAAAATTGTCACTATAATTATGCTATAAGTATGTAATGCGGTATATTACAAGGCGTTTTCTGAGTGTTGCATTATTTGCAACACCTCAGGAAAGCCATTCCCGTCCCTTGCCTCCCCGTAACCTGTTGTACAACACGAAAACAGACGCGCCCTAAAATAAACATTTAATTTTTTCCATGCCCGAATAACGAAACCGGAGATATTGGCGAAATAAACTCGACGAACGCGATCCGACGGACACTCAAAAAAAAGGAGCGCACCACGAAATAAGAGAGCGCACGCACACACTTACTCACGACCACGTGTTGCCAACTGGAGAAAGAAACACGGGCAACTTAACTGGGAAATGCAACGGAAATGCTTGTTGATGACACATGCTGATCCGTTACACTTCCAGGCATTAACACTAACACTCATGAAAAACTGACACACCTGGGGCGAGCAGAAAATCGCCGATCAAGTGGTAGCCGGCAATTAGCTGTGTCGGGCTGCCGAACACCATCGGCGACATCCTGAGCGCCACACACACTCACAATAATGATCACTAATAAACACCCGGAAACACATCACCTGACCGAAACAGGAGCGCTCCAGGTGGCGCTCCAAAGACCGTTACGGGAACACGAGGTACACGCGCGAGAGAGCGAGCGGCCATTTTTAAGCGCCAAGACAAACTGAGCATGAGCGAGCGAGACAGATTGAAAGCGAGCAAGACAGACTGAGAGCGAGCGAGCGAGACAGAGCGAGCAAAATAGACTAAATAAGAGCGAACGAGATAGATTATATGAAATACACGAAATGTTGAATAGAATTATATGTAAATGCGAAGATGAGAGCGCTACGAATGAGATGACTTAAATTATATTATTATTCGCAACTAATAAAAATTAAAATTAAAAATGAACATGAAAAAATACCGAATTACGAAAATTCGTATGCGACCGACACACCCTTTATTATAATAGCGAGCGACAATAAAATTAACCGACAAAATTCGAACTTCTGACGAAATTCGCTGGTGACATCACGACCAATAAGCGAATTAGAATAAAATTTGATTTCCGTACTCATAGAAAAATAGATAAAAGTAGGGGTAGATCTTTCCCATTAATTAATGCTAGCTAACTTAGTGAGGGGTGAGAGAAGGTAGATAGCGACGAAAGTAGGAGAATCAAGGAGGGCGCTGTATATAGCTTAGACTTGGTACCAGATTCTGATAGTTTAGATTCTGGGAAGGTGTCGGATTTTGACTACTTCCAGACTGATATTGACTGATTCAACAATTTGAAATTAGCTTAGAATTACGCCAAGGAGGATGGCGAATATCGAACAATGATAATACAGACCGATTAGAGCTACTGAGATGGCTGATTCGAGAACAAAGACTCCCAGCTAATCCATCCATGACCCGCAGCCAAAGAATTAACAGTTTTCCACCGTTCGCTAGAATATTATGGAATGAAGAGCATGCCACTGACTCTAACAAAACCACCAACCAGCCTCCAAAAACAAACACGACAGATGCAACGTCAACAGCAGGCGAGGAGTTAGAAACAGACGAGCGACAGACAACAGACACGAATCAACTAATTGATCTACCACTCGACATAAATATCGTTCGTCGACAAGCTACGACACCAAAACAACTCCATATAACTTCGCCAACATTGACATGGACTCAGATCAATGAAACAGAACCAAGTAATACCAATAGACAAACAACCAGAAATAGAAAGACGGAAATAGCACAAATCACGTTAGATGACGACTATTCCCGTGCTCAGGCATCACGTTCGCCGACATATAATAGACCTCGCAAAATGCGTACTAGACAGTCAAATTGGTCCGACAGCAACTCTGAATCGCCATCAGAAATTGAAAGAAAGACACGCAGGCGTTCAAAACCAAGAAGCGAGTAACCTGGGGTGTGACCAGAGAAATACATGGTCCGTCAAATATCGACCAGAACGGATATAGACCAGACTTTGCCACAGTTAAGCCGTCCAAAACAAAGCTCGCAACCACAGACGAGCTTGTAAAAAGGACCAGACCAAACAATAAAATAAAACCAAATTTAGACAAAAATTACACTTTTACTGCGAAACCCTCAAAGGACACTGCGGAAATAAATAGAGCTCAACCAGTCCGACATAAGAAACAGTATTCAGATGAAAATGAATTTTTCGATGACAATCAACAACGGAAAATATTACGACCAGACAGAATAAATAAAGTACATAAAATAAAAAGAATTGAAAAAGTAAAAGAACCCTACAAAAGTTATTCCCGTCGACCATCTAGTTCCTTCAGCTCATCAAGGGAAACTCATAGTGATAAGGATAACCACAACGAAATAAATAATTAGAAAAAAGAAGACGCGTAAATAAGTATTCAGATTCGTACAGCGAAGACGATACATCCGACGACAGTCGCTACCTTAGAGCGTTACAACGATCCGACCACTCAGACCGTATCCAATCACGACATATCCGTCGACATAGAAGAAATAAAAGATACTCATCGGAAAGCGAATCTGACATTAAACAACGGAACAGGCGCTCAAAACATCGAATAGACTATCGCTCTCGATCAAGGTCACAGTCGCAATCCAAACACAGAAATAAATATACAGGCTATCACTATTCTCGTGAGCAATGGCGAGAACCAACCAGATATTATTCTGACACCGAAAGCTCGACCTCATCTTCGGAACCAGAATATGAAACGAGACATCGTTCACACAGGTTAAGAGAACTTGACTATGACACTGCCCGACGAGACCTTCGTAACATTAAGTTACTAGAAAGCTGTAAAATAAGATTTAATGGCACAGACGAACCTGAAGAATTTATTAGCCTAATCGAAGATCAGAAAAGACGTGTTAAAATGTCAAGTAATGATCTGCTGCAAGCAATAATGGCCGTGTTCTCCAAAGAAGTTACTTCGTGGTACCGAGGAATATCAAAGGAAATCTATTCGTGGCGAGACCTGAAAAGAGCCCTACGAAATCACTACGGCAGACGAATGACTGATGATGACATTGAAGAAGAACTCAGACGGCAAACAAAAAATGAAGGTGAATCAATGGCAGACTAGGTAGGTTCAAGTGAACGCCTTCCGATATATAGCCAGCCATTTTAAACATCCTATTTCCCTGTGATAACAAATTAAAATCGCTAGACGAGGACTCCTTCCGGCATACCGGAAATACATGTCTGACAAATGGATAGATAGATTCAGTGATTTGACATACTATGGCCGAAAATGGGAAGAATTGGAAGAAATGGATGAACAATACCATCCACCCTCGACCAAGACACACTTTCCAGCTGCAGCACCAAAAACCAATAGAAAAACAGTAAAAGCCTCAGCCGTACAGAAAATTAGGACAAATTCTAACATGACACGTGAAAACTCTCAAAATAATAATGGAAAAGACAATACAGGTAAAACAAAACAAAATAATACACAACAACAGAACAAGCAAGGAAATATATACGAGCTCTGTCCGGAAAGTATCGGGCCTACCTTTATATTTTCGTGCTAGCGTTATTCTTTATCATCTGGTGGATGGCATCCTTCAAAGTAATCCCCACTTGATTAAATAACACGGTTCTATCGATGTTTCCACTTTTTAAAACAGTCCTGGAACTCACTTTTAGGGATAACCTTTAGTACACTCGTCGCATTGTTTTCAACCGTTGTTTTGTCATCGAATCGGTGTCCTTTGAGTGGTTTTTTTAGTTTTGGAAAAAGCCAAAAGTCACAAAGGGCTATGTCGGGACTGTATGGAGGTTATCGAAGCAATGCGATATTGTGTTTGCTCAAAAACTGCTGCACAAGATTGGATGAATGCGCTGGCGCATTATCGTGATGGAGAAGCCAGTCACCACTTTCCCAAAAGTGCGGCCGTTTTCTTCTTACTGCATTACGCAAACGTTTAAAAATTTGAATGTAGTATTCTTTATTGATTGTCTGACCTGTTGGTGCATATTCGTGATGTACAACACCTTCACAATCGACAAAAACAATCAACATTGACTTAACATTGCTCCGACTTTGACGTGCTTTTTTTGGTCTTGGCGATTCAGAATGCTTCCACTGTGAAGATTGTTGTTTTGTTTCAGGATCATAACCATAAACCCATTATTCATCACCTGTAATAACTTTTCTAAGCATATTATCATCACTATTGACCATTTCCAGATTGTCCAGAGCGATTTTTAAGCGAATGTTTTTCTGCTCTGCTGTGAGCAATTTTGGGATGAATTTTGCACACACGCATTTCATTCCTAAATTTTCGGTTAAAATTTCTGAAATGATAGTTTTTGATATCTCAAAGTCTTCTTCTAGTTTTCGCACAGTCATACGACGATCTTGTTTGATGCAAGTCGCACCCGCTCAATATTATCTGCGGTTTTTGTCGTCGAAGGTCGGCCGGAACGAGAATCACTATCGACAGAAGTGCGACCATCCTTGAACCGTTTATACCACTCTTTTATTCGTGTTTTGCTCATACACTCGCTTCCGAAGGCCTTTTGCATTATTTCAATAGTTTCCGAACTCGTTTTTCCGAGTTGAAAGCAAAATTTGATGCAAATTCGTTGATCTTGTTTTTCAGTCATTTTTGACAATATCAAAATCCAACGAACGTGAAAAAGGCACTGTAAACAAAGGCACGCTGCGCATGAACTATACGCCAGGCAGGTGTCAGTAAGTAACCAATAGATTCGTGAGGCTTTACTGTTGACGTTTCTGTCCGGTAGAGGTCGCTCGAACACTATGGCGCGAAGATATAAACGTAGATATAAACACCCATGATGGCACAAATTGCAGCATACCAAGGACTACACCAGTACTTGGGCTTCCTACCAGTCAGACAAGAACAAACATGGACAAATTAAGACAAAATACAGACAGTAAATAACAATCAGATCAATGGCAAAATGAATAACCGGAACCAACAGACACAAGGTTACAGTCAAGGTCAACAAGTATCAACATCGAATGGCGTGGAAACAAGATGGAATTTACCCTCACTGATACTGTTTCAAAACAATCAAACAGATAATACAATGAATAATGATAATCAGACCGACAGACAAAACAAAGAACCATACAAATGCTACCAAGGTGATCATAACTACCGACAATGCCCAAAGAATCCTTGTTTCTTCTGTTACCAACCAGGTCATTATGCAGCATCCTGCCCAAAAAGAGAATCTTTATTCCCAAAAACAGGACCTAAAAGAAAACAGACACACTGCCAAGTTTGTAAAAATATAGGCTCGCCCTTTGACTTTTGCAAATTTTGCCAATATATTCGCTCTGAATTGTTGGGAAACGCGCTAGGTGGGGAGCAGACGAGTCCACTGCTTCCCCCGATTCCCAATATTGGGCCAACATGATCACACAGGGGAAATCACCATGAAAATGGCCTCCCACATAGAAATTGATACAGACTCGGAAGAAAATACTTGCCCAATATGGGAAATATCATCAGGTGATGATAAAGGAATAAATGATCAGTCATCAGATGAGGATGAAAATGATACTGACAGAAATACCGCTCAAATAAATAGACAGGAACTATCTTGAATTGATGAAGAACAACTTAATAAGTTGCTAAAACGCCTTAAGGATCGGAAAACGTTACCATTTGACATTAATGAGGAGATGTAAAACAGTGAACAGTTGGTGGAAAACCTAGCATTTCTACCAGCTGAACAAATGACATTAACAGACGACACTGACCATCAGATCCCAGCAATAGCAGATCAAATAATAAAAGTTCCAGACAAAGTAGATACTGTCACACCTGAAATACAACCTGAAGGAATGCCAAAAGGAATATTAAAAACCGTTAAATTTTTAGACAATGAAGAAATGATACAAACAAAGGATGAAGCACTGACAATACCCTCACAATCAGACCTGCAAACAACTAATGAACCTGATAAAGGACATCAGGAAGCTGTAGATGAGGATAAAGACAAAAACATGACAATGATATTGACCACACCCCCACAATCGGTAGGAGGGTTGAGCTCAGACAGTAGATGTTTCATACCGATTATTATTGGTAATGTAGCATATGACGCCTTAGTTGACTCAAGAGCGGAACTCTCACTGGTAGGACCGGAAATAACAGACAGATTCAAAGAAAGACTAATTCCGAGTTACACTACGATACAAGGAATTACGGAAAAAACAGAGAAAACTATAGACGAACTTCCCGTACAAATTGATTTTGACGGACATACACAGAAATTTAGATTTAAGGCAATGAAAATCCTACCTTGACCGCCAATTATTATAGGTCTAGACTTTCTGACACAATGGAATATGCTCATACTTTTCCGAGAAAGGAAATGGAGAGTACATAATGGTAAATGGTATCACTTACAACCTAGACAACTGCACAACGAGAAGCTTTCTATGCAGAATGCGCTGGCCTCACAGAAATTACACCTGACCAAACTAAACGAATCAAAGAAATAACAGATCGTTTATTACCACCCATGACTAACAAACTAGGTAGAACACCGATGTAAAACACATAATAGATGTAGGTGATAGCCAACTAATGAGACAAGGATTACGACAAATGTCACCCGTAATACAGAAAATAGTACGAACTGAAATACGAAAAATGTACGAAATGGGCATTATACTATATATACTATATAATAGCATACATTAGCAGAATACCAACCGGACCAAAAAGAAATTACTCTGTGACAGAGAAAGAATTGTTGTTAATAGTATAGATCATCAAGAAACTAAGACCGTACCTTGAAGGATATGACTATACAGTTATTACTGACCACTCAGCACTGATATACCTGTTTAACATTAAAGAACCAAAAGGTAGATTAGGAAGATGGATATGCGACCTGATGCAAGAACGTGTGACATTTAAACACCGTAAAGGCACGATGCATAAAGTACGAAATGCCCTGTCACGAATAGCCGAAGAGATTAACAAAATCGCAGCCTTCAGAACAGTACAAGACAATTGGTACCTGAAAAAACGTAAAGACGTAAAAGAAAAACCAGACAAATACCCTGACTGAAAAATCGAAGACGACATGCTATATGATAATATACCAGATCCAATTATGGACCCGTTAACAAATGGAGAAACGGAATGAAAACTAATAGTACCTGACTAATACAAAATGAAAATCATGAAAAATGCACGCTACCTTCCTGTAGCGGGACATCTGGGTATAGAAAAGACATATGAGAATCGGTACCGAATATTATTAGGGCTATTCTGTCGCATGAGGACGCTGACAAGCACATGGGGTACGATTCCGCGAAGTATGAATCGGTTTATACGTGTATGCACGTCGAAGCACGTTTAATTTATTTAATTATCAATAATGAATGGCAATATGAGTAAAAGTACTGATTACGGCCAATGGACCATTAAACAATTGATACAGGAACTGAAACTGAGGAAAGCCAAAACAACGGGGAAAAAGGCTGATTTAGTTCAAAGGTTATAAGCTCCGGTTTTTAACAAAGGGCAATTTTTCAATTTTTTATACAACATTTTCAGGCTTATCGATTACGATAAAATATCCATTAGAGTTGAACCAGAAGATGAAGATAAAAGCTACATATTAATTAAGCCTGACCCAAAAATATACAAAGATTTAAACGCATCGCACACTTTGAATATTGATATGAACTTTGATAGTAAATATTTTGAGTCAGTACAAGCATCTGCTATCAATGATAAAGGTATAAAAATGTACAACGATAATTATCTATTGAGCTTGCGAAAAGCTTCCAATGAAGATGGTGAAGAATTTTTATGCTCCAGAGTCGCTTCAGAATATAGAAAATCAGTTATTTATACTGTTGATGTTAAAGTAAAATCATATAAATGCATTTCTGACACACAGTGCGAGTGTGTAGCTGGAAAAGGTCCATCGGCTCATTGTAAGCATGTTTCTGTAGTGTTAGAAGCGATGAAAGATTTTGTGAAAAACAAAGAATACAAAATAAGAGCTACTTGTACGGAACAACTGCAAAAGTTTCATCAAGTTAAAAAAAATACAATGGGTCACCAGTTAAAATCAAAGATCTGCTATTCAATAAAATGAATACGTTGTAAAGTAGATTAAAAGACTTTGACCCAAGACCTACTAAATATAGAAAAATAGATAATTACAAAGCCAAATTCAGAAACCAATGCATAAATTTTGCTGCAATTATAGGTGAATCTTTTCCAGAATTGCAATTATTTGAACCTGCAAATATATTTGCTGTCTACAATGATCATGATTATTGTAAAGAACATAAAGTTATTAGTTTTTTAAAACATATGAATTTAATGGATGTGTCGCAGGCTAAGAGATTAGAAATTGAATCTTTGACTCGTGGTTAGTCTAAAAACAAATGCTGGTTTGTAGAAAGAGATGTTCGATTAAATAGTTCTTTATTTGGAGAAATTTGTAAATGTCATGATTATGAAAAGCTTGTACGTAGGTTGATGAACCCAACTGACTTATCACATTTGTCAGCTATACAACATGGTAAAAAATATGAAGTGCATGCTATAAAGAAGTTTGAAGAAGTTGTGAAAAGAAAAGTTGTAGAATGTGGGACATTCGTATCATTAAAATATCCCTTTTTAGCAGCTTCACCTAATGGTATTTTGAATGACAGTGTTTGCATTGAGGTCAAGTGTCCTTTTAGTGCGAAAGATCAATTTATTTTACCAGAAAATGTAGATTACCTATATCTACGTGACAGAGAAGGTTATTGCAAATTTAAAGAGGATCACAATTATTATTATCAAGTTCAAGGCCAATTATACTGCGCTGAGAAGCAAATGTGTATATTCATAGTCAATACAATGAAAGATATTTTATTGTTGACAATAAGGAGAGATGAAGCATTCATTGATAAGATGGTTAAAAGTTTGGTAAAATTTTATGAAAGTCACTTTCGTCAAGCAGTGTTAAATAAGTATATATATAGAAAATATTTATTCTAACTTGTTTTACATGATTGTTTTATGTGCACTGTAACGGTCCTGTCTGATTTGTCTCCTATTTTCCTCTGCAAAACGGCAACCCATCACACACGAGACAATTAGAGTAAATCGGTAATTGAGCGTAGGCGCTTTTCACACGTATATGCAAATGTGTTGGGGCAACTCTGCGAAAACATTACCATATAAGGAGCGTGACGTCACGACCGTGGGAAAATTTATTGTTTACAACAGAAAATCGTTAATTATAAAGTTTTTTAAACGAACAAAAGTATTTCTTAGTTAAATTTGATGCGCTGATTCTGAATTTCATGTTGATATAACTCTCAAATCGATATTTGTTAGTCAAATCTAATCTACAAGTTAACATTGTTACTTATTTTGCAATAAACAATGATATTGTTATTTCGAGCATACACAACATGAATTCCGAACATAAACCATACAAAATAAACGACATTGTGTTACTAAAAAGTCACAATGCGACAGATAAATCCGAAGAACGCTTCAAAAAATTTATGAGACTGTACGAAGGACCATACTTCGTACAATCAATCATAGGTATGGACACATACGTACTCGGTCACAAGAATGGAAAAACTCGGGGAAAATTTCACACCTCGTTATTAAAGCCGTATCACTGTTAGTCGCCAGAGGTCGATTCTATATATGCAAATAGATTCTCCGAATTCATGCCTATATACTAGTCTTCATCGAGGATAATTCTGAACAATTTTTGGCCATGGCGTCTTTAATGAAATATAAGAGCACCCAGACCGATCTCTCGGATTTGAGGGACTTTATTCCTCATCCGCAGGGTCGGCCCTTTATGCCCTCTTTTAACCTGGTACCTTGGCTGGAGTGCATGAGAACGCAAACTCCAGCCAGGTTCCCCCAGGTGGACTCCCCTATGGTGAAGCCACCAAAACCAAGGGTGAAGGAAGCCCCTATCCCTTTTCTGCCCTCCAGCGTCCCACGACCTGCCAACACCGAGCCTGTTGCGGAAGAAAAAAAGGCTTCCAAACAACAGCTCCGCAGGGTGAGGAAACGCATCGCCAAGCTAGGGGCAAGGATAGCAGAAAAAGAAGAGGAGATTAAGCGGCTAAGGGAGGAAGCAACCACCAGCGCCAAGAGTAAAAATAAATTGTAAATAAAATGAAAAAAAAAAAAAAAAAAAAAACAACAACAAATCAGACACCATTAATCACATTAGAATGGCTCGTTCGATTCGCCATTCTAATGGGGGGGCTATGTAACGGTCCTGTCTTATTTGTCTCCTATTTTCCTCTGCAAAACGGCAACCCGTCACACACGAGACAATTAGAGTAAATCGGTAATTGAGCGTAGGCGCTTTTCACACGTATATGCAAATGTGTTAGGGCAACTCTGCGAAAACATTACCATATAAGGAGCGTGACCTCACGACCGTGGGAAAATTTATTGTTTACAACAGAAAATCGTTAATTATAAAGATTTTTAAACGAACGAAAGTATTTCTTAGTTAAATTTGATGCGCTGATTCTGAATTTCATGTTGATATAACTCTCAAATCGATATTTGTTAGTCAAATCTAATCTACAAGTTAACA